CATCACCATCAATTCATCATGAACATTCTCAGCATCATAACTATCACAAAATCATCACCATCATCACCATTGTCGTCATCCTCATTATATTTCATGTGTAAACAATAGACTTTCCTTTTTTCAAAAACACATCTCTCCGGTAATAAAAGAGATCAAATCACCTGTAACTTTCTTTCTCCGTCCAATATCAGGGCTAGCAGACGCACTTCTCTTTCTAGTCTTCACCAACGGTCGCTTCTTTGATCGAGGTGTCCTTCCTTGTGGACGGTATATTGTTTCGAGGCGACCACGCTGCTTGGTTGGAACTGGCTTTTTTGCTTTCTTTTTTGGAACCTGAGGCGACCTCTGAAAAATAGAAATTTTATCTGCTATGAATATGTTAAATTCCTGCTATCAGAGCGTCTCTCTATTGTGTTGGAGGCCGTGATTCGAGTCCCAACCAGACCAACAGTTAGGGTCTTAAAATAACTGAGGAGAAGGTGCTGCCTTTGTAATTACACCTGCAAATGGTTAGACCTTCAAGTCTTCTCGGACAAGGACTTGAAAACCGTAGGCCTTGTCTCCCAACCCTTCCCTAACCTGCGGTAAAACGGGAGACATGAAAGAACCTGTTGAATTATTCGTGAAGAAAAGGGGATTGTCTCCCGGTTTAACAGCCTATCCCAATTTGGAGGCATAACACTAATGTACTATATAGTCTAACAGTTCACTCATGCTTGTAAGCTACAGGGCTGCCATTAGCGCAAACGGCGAGGTTTTTCCCCCGTAAGGGGTAGAGGTGGGAAGTGACTGTTCACAGGCTAATTCATATAGACTAGGTTTACTGGAATAGTTTTATAACCCTTCCTATTCAACGAACCTGTACTTTTCTCTTTTTTATTTCACTTCTTTCATCTTCCTGTTGCTTCTGAATATCCCGAAGCTGTTCAGCATAAGCCTCGCGCATGGCAGTAGTGTGCTGMTGCCGCTGTTCCTCGGCTTCGTCCTCTAATAGTCTCCGAAGTCTGTCCATTCGGCTTGTTATCGGGATGACTTCCGCATCTTCGTCGAAATGAACGGCTCGACGAGCGGATTTCGACGTAGATYTTGGTTGTGCTTCAATTTTCTTCCATCGTTCTATATCGTTTAAAATTCAAAGATATAATTACTTTCTTACGCCCTTTGTCACGTGACCCTACACACCTTAAATCAAACAGTAGCGTCAAAATGACCACTAGAAATGAAAAGTCAATATTTTTCTTGTCATTTTTGCACACGAGAAGACACATGAATATGGATTCAAATTCAACAAAGAATCTTATTCTCAAGAGAATGACACGTGGTCTAAATGGGAAAACATTACGCTCAAGCCACAGTCAAAAGGGTAATGTTTTCCCATTTCAGATCACGTGTCATTCCCTAGAGTATCATTTCTTTGTTTAACGGTTGCGCATGTGAAGACGCATGAATATGGATACAACTTAAAAAAATAATCTTATTCTCAAGGGAATGACACTGGCTCTGAAATGGGAAAACATCTCTGATAAAATGGATAGTCTTGGCATGCCTGTCACTCATTCGTGATTCTCCTCTACCGCGTCAGCGTGATSAACACGTGAACGTGAGGAACGTGGACGTGYTGCCAAGTTACAAGGGTCTATYCCGGGAGCATGCGCAGTACAAACTTAGATTTTAGATGAATAGCACGTTCGCAAGATGGCGTCATTTGACTCCCACTGCCACAATGCTTAGCGAATTTTCTTCATTCAAATTTGTATTCCCTCTGAGAATAG